GGCAGACTGGTGAGAAAAGCTGGTTCTGGGTTGGGAACAGAGCTGGAGTCCCAATTACATTGGTGGCAGAGAAAAGGGCCCTCAGTAAGTTACTGTCCATCATGGACAATGCTGACCATCCTCTGCATGGTGCGATCATGAAGTGCTCCTTCAGTGGTAGACTACTGTCCCAGCCCAGCTCCACGGACAGATTCAAAGTCAGCGAGTCAGAGAGATTCTTTATTGTCATTTGCACCTCATGTGGTACATGTGGTGGAGTGAATTTATGTACACAGGGTCCCAGTTACATCCAACAATAAAATGTATAAGAAAAACAGTAATAACATCTAAGGTATGAACTAAGAAAAACATCAACTAAATATACACTAAGCACTCATAACATAAAAACATTGAACATCAGCACAAACATGAACATGAGTCTGTGTGAGCAGATGTGCACGCATGATCACATCAACATTGAAACAGATCAGCAGCAACATGAAACAAATCAGCAGCAACATGATATGATTTTCACAGTGATTATTCGAGTTCGAGATTCATAAGTCTAACAACCTCAGGGTAGAAGCTGTTCCTCAGTCTAGTGGTTCTACACGTAATGCTCCTCAACCTCCTTCCTGAGGGGAGCGGGGCAAAAAGTGTGTGTGTTGGGTAAGTGAAGTCCTTCATAATGCAGGTAGCCCTCTTCCTGCATCTAGAGGTGTAGATGTCTGTGATGGTGGGGAGGATGACTCCGACATCTTCTGTGCAGCCTTCACTACTCTCTGCAAAGCTTTTCTTTCGCAACTGTGCAGCCTCCATGCCACACTATAACTTTTTTGACATTTACATGCCAAAACCACCTTATAATGAGCAGAATGAACCCACGTTAGAACAACCTCTTTTGGCTGGCTTCATAATTACTCAATTTCAACTATATTAACAACAAAACAGTAAAAACACCCCTACTCTCCAACACATTGCAAGTAACATTGCAAGTATTTTAGAGCTATTTCATAGTGTTGAGTGCTCTCAATTCAAAACTGTCAACCTGTCACCTGTCAGAATCGAGACGAGGCGGTGCCAGGGAATCAGCTGATTGGACCACGAACCAGTCAAGCGATTCATTCCGACAACGAAACAGTTTGTGTTTCGGACATCACGTGACTTTTTCCGCACCAAAACAGGCTCCGAAGCAGTGGTTCGATGAAATTTTACTGCAGGGTTCGAAGCATTTTTTGAAGCTTTAGTTTCATACTACCATCACTATGTGTATGTAAACATATAGATGTTAATCAATCATGAATGTAGTACCCTTCCACCTTGTGCATGTGCATATTGTCTTTTTCAAATGCTACTAGATGTCTCGAATTTCCCTTTGGGATTAATAAAGTATCTATCCGACTCTGCGGTCTACACTCATCTTCATGCCAGCGGTCACTCGTTCAGGGATGAAGATGTTCACACTCTGGATAGAGAGGAACGATGGTTTGAGAAACGGATTTGATGTTCCCTCGACCGGACGTGGGTCACCGGGGCCCCACTCTGGAGCCAGAGATGGAGGTGGGGCATGCGGGCGAGCGCCTGGTGGCCGGGCTTTTACCTATGGAGCTCGGCCGGGCACAGCCCGAAGAGGAGACGTGGGTCCCCCTTCCCATGGGCTCACCACCTGTGGGAGGGGCCAAAGGGGTCGGGTGCAATGTGGGATGGGTGGTGGCCGAGGGCGGGGACCCTGGCGGTCTGATCCTCAGCTACAGAAGCTGGCTATTGGGACGTGGAATGTCACCTCACTGGTGGGGAAGGAGCCTGAGCTGGTGTGTGAGGTTGAGAGGTTCCAGCTAGAAATAGTCAGACTCACCTCTACACATGGCTCTGGAACCAGTTTTCTGGAGAGGGGCTGGACACTCTTACACTCTGGAGTTGCCCCTGGTGAGAGGCGCTGAGCAGGAGTGGGCATACTTATTGCCCCCCATCTTGGTGCCTGTGTGTTGGGGTTCACCCCGGTGAATGAGAGGGTGGCCTCCCTCCGCCTACGTGTGGGGGGACGGGTTCTGACTGTCGTTTGTGCTTATGCACCAAACGGCAGTTCAGATTATCCACCCTTTTTGGAATCCTTGGAGGGGGTACTGGAAAGTGCACCTCCTGGGGACTCCCTTGTTCTGCTGGGGGACTTCAATGCTCACATGGGCAATGACAGTGAGACCTGGAGGAGTGTGGTTGGGAGGAACAACCCCCCTGATCTGAACCCGAGTGGTGTTCTGTTGTTGGACTTCTGTGCTCGTCATGGATTGTCAATAACGAACACCTTGTTCAGACACAGACCTAGGGTGTCCATATGTGTTCTTGGCACCAGGACACCCTAGGCCGCAGTTCCATGATCGACTTTGTCATCATCTCATCTGATCTGCGGCCACATGTCTTGGACACTAGGGTGAAGAGAGGGGCGGAGCTGTCCACTGATCACTACCTGGTGGTGAGTTGGCTCCGATGGTGGAGGAAGATGCCGGTCAGACCTGGCAGACCCAAACGTATTGTGAGGGTTTGCTGGGAACATCTGGCAGAGTCTCCTGTGAGATGGAGCTTTAACTCCCACCTCCGAGAGAACTTCGAACATGTTCCAGGGAGGTGGGGGACATTGAGTCAGAGTGGGCCATGTTCCGTGCCTCTATTGTCGAGGTGGCTTACCGGAGCTGCGGCTGCAAGGTTGTCATGCCTGTCGGCAACCCTCGAACCCAGTGGTGGACACCGTCGGTGAGGGATGCTGTCAGGCTGAAGAAGGAGTCCTATCGGGCCTTTTTGGCCTGTGGTACCCCGAAAGCAGCTGATGGGTACCGACAGTCCAAGCGGCATGCGGCTCAGGAGGTCGCTGAGGCAAAAACTCGGGCATGGGAGGAGTTCGGAGAGGTCATGGAGAATGACTTCTGCATGGCTTCGAGGCGATTCTGGTCCACCATCCGGCGTCTCGAGGAGGAAAGCGGTACACCACCAACACTGTTTATAGTGGGGGTGGTATGCTGCTGACCTCAACTCGGGATGTCGTGGGTCGGTGGGCAGAATACTTTGAAGACCTCCTCAATCCGGACCAGCTCTACACTCTCAGCAGGGTCCTCAAGGGTGCGTGGGAGTTTGCCCAACTGGTCTACATGTGCTTTGTGGACTTGGCGAAGGCGTTCGACCACGTCCCTTGGGGAACCCTGTGGGAAGTACTCTGGGAGTATGGGGTACCGGGTCCTTTGATACAGGCTGTTCGGTCCCTGTTTGACCGGTGTCAAAGCCTGGTCCGCATTGCCGGCAGTAAGTCGGGCTTGTTCCCGGTGAGAGTTGGGATTCCGCCAAGGTTGCCCTTTGTCACGATTCTGTTCATAACTTTTATGGATAGAATTTCTAGGCGCAGCCAAGGTGTTGAGGGGATCCATTTTGGTGACCTTAGAATTGCTTCTCTGCTTTTTGCAAATGATGTGGTCCTGTTGGCTTCATCAGATCGTGATTTAAAGCTTTCGCTGGAGCGGTTCGCAGCTGAGTGCGACACGGCCGGGATGAAGATCAGTTCCTCCAAATCCGAGGCCATGGTCTTGAGCTGGAAAAGGGTAGAGTGCCCTCTCCAGGTCAGGGAGGAGGTCCTGCCCCAAGTGGAGGAGTTCAAGTATCTTGGGGTTTTGTTCATGAATGAGGGAAAAATGGAGCATGAGATCGATAGGCGGATAGGTGCAGCGTCTGCAGTGAAGCGGGCGCTGTACAGGTCTGTCGTGGTGAAGAGAGAGCTGAGTCAAAAGGCGAAGCTCTCAATTTACCGACTGATCTACGTTCCTACGCCCATCTATAGTCATGAGCTTTGTGTTGTGACCGAAAGAACAAGATCTTGGATACAAGCGGCCGAAATGAGTTTTCTCCGCAGGGTGTCTGGGCTCTCCCTTAGAGATAGGGTGAGAAGCTCGATCATCCGGGAGGGACTCAGAGTAGTGCCGCTGCTTCTCCATGTCAAGAAGAGCCAGTTGAGGTGGCTCGGGCATCTGTTTAGGATGCCTCCTGGACGCCTCCCTGGTGAGGTGTTCCAGACACGTCCCACTGGGAGGAGACCCAGAGGAAGACCCAGGACACGCTGGAGGGACTATGATTCTCGGCTGGCCTGGAAACGCCTCGGGATTCCCCCGGAGGAGCTGGACCAAGTGGCTGGGGAGAGGGAAGTCTGGGCCTCCCTACTTAGGCTGCTACCCCCGCGACCCAACCCCAGATAAGCGGAAGAAAATGGATGGTTTGAGAGAGGAGTAAAAGGAGGCCATCTTTGTGAAAAGAAACTATCCATCATTAAACAAGGGTGGAGGGGTCCATGTTCAACTGTCCCCCTCTTACAATGCTGTTATTGCTAGTATCACTCAGCCTCCTGTGAATAGCAAACAGCCAATGTGCTAATGATTCATGGTTAGGCTGATGGTCCTTCTTGATTATGTGAGCAGCTGGTTTTGGTTGTCAGCAGCAAACTGGTTGATCCACTCTGAGAAGGTGCTATTTATAAGACTGAGCTGAATACAGCACCTCAGACTGAGGAAGACTTTCGGATCAAAGACAAAACATTTCTACCTTTTTTGTTGTTGTTTTTCTTAGTTTTTTGAATGTCCAGAGGACCAGTTTTAACTTTTTTAGATATCTATCTGATAAATATGACAAAACACTTCAACACTTTATACTAAAGAAATTGTCAAAAACAATTTTTTAAAACATTTCATATAAAATAATATAATAAAGAAATCATGTTTATTTCAACAGCTTAATAGAGTGTACAGACACTATCTATGCTGCTGTTCTAGTGTCCAATAATACACGTGTAGAAAACAAACAGAACACTAACAATTGTAAAGTTATACAGAACAGAAATACAGGAAATGTAACAACTAAACTTTTATTCAAACAAAAAGCAGATGCATTTGTGTTTATTCTTGATTTCATTAATTGCTTGTGTAGTTAGTGTCTGAACACCCAGGAAGGAGAAATAAATACCCTTTATGTAAAGTGACACAAACGTACGTTTAACAAACCCCAAAATCTGAGAAAGTTACAAAATTACACTTTATAATCCTTGTGAGTTTTCATGTGCCTGTTTAAAAAAGATTTTAAAACAAAACTTTTCCCACAGATCAAGCATGAAAAAGGCTTCTCGCCTGTGTGAAATTTCACGTGAGTGTTCAAAGTATCTTTGCGAACAAAACGTTTTCTACATGTCTGGCATGAAAAAGGCTTCTCACCTGTGTGGGTTAACACGTGAATATTCAACAAATATTTACTAACAAAACTTTTTCCACAGGTCTGACATGAGAAAGGTCTCTCACCTGTGTGAGTTTTCATGTGGTAGTTAAAGCCATTATATTCACAGTAACTTTTTCCACAGATCTGACAAGTAAAAGGTCTCTCACCTGTGTGAGTTCTCATGTGAACAGTTAAATAATTTTTTACACAGAATTTTTTTCCACAAGTCAAACACACAAAACGCTTTTTGGGATTGCTTTTTGCTTTTGGGTGGTCTTCATTGTCACCATGACCTCTGGTTTGTGAACTTTTCTTATGTTGTTTCAGCTCTTCGTCTCTGCTGAATTCCGAGTTTTTTTTGCTTCCTTCCTGAACTTGGCTCTCAGACACAGAAGAGTTCTGAAAGAACCATTGTTTCCTGTTTGGTTCTGGTTCATTGTGATTTTTTTCCTTATAAACTGGAGTTACCATAAAGGTTTCCGTCTCCTGCTCCTCTTTCATCTCTAGATTTTTTGGGTTTCCCTGTGGAGGTTCTGGATCCTTCTGTTCCTCTTTAATCTGTGGAGGTTCTAGATCCTCATGTTCCTCTTTTATCTGTGGAAGTCCGGGTTCCGCCTGGTCTGAACTGGAGTTCCTGTCCTGGTTACAGAGCCATTGGTCAGTAAGAACATCTTCCTCCTTCCAGGTGTGATGCTGTGGAAGACCTGGATGAACAAACAAATGAAAATGTTGATCAAAGTGATTGTAGGAAAACTTACTTTACATTAATTAGAAGATGCATCTGAAAATGGTTTGGAAGTTGCAGCTGGAGTTTATTACAGCTTGGTAGGTATTCAGACCACACCTTTCCTAAAACCTTTTGGGATACAAACATAAAACTTCACTCCTGACACACCTCCATTTAAAAATGTAAATATGTGTCAGCCGTGACTTAAAGCTGCTGAAATCAGCACTTTTAGCTGCAAACTGAATCCAGTAAGACTGAACCAGTCTCCCAGTTAAACCTCCATTATCCCCACTGCTGCTCCATACCTATTCTGTGTAGCTTTGTCTGAGGTTTCCAGCTGGTCTTCAACGTTCTGCGCTGACGATTGAGTTCTTTCTTGTTCTGGACGATGTTTTTTTCTGGTTCCCAGTGGTTCCTTCCCTCCGTCTCCTGCATCAATAAAAGCTGTTCTTCATCCTGATCAATACAGAGCTCCTCCTGTTGTGGAGGTTCTGGTTCCTCCTGAGCATGTTCTGATTTCTTGTACTTAATTTCCTCATAAGCAGGTGTCACCATAAATGTATCATACTCCTGCTTCACTGAAAGCTGTTCTTCATCCTGACTGGAACAGATTTCCTCCTGATCATCTTCAATTTGTGGAGGTTCTGGTTCCTCCTGGTCCAAACTGGAGTTCCTCTCCTGATTATAGAGCTGCTGGTTAGTGAGAACCTCCTCCTTCCAGACACAATGCTGTGGGAGTTCTGGACCTACAAGACAGAGAAATAAATCTCATTATTGTGACTAAAAAGAAGCACACGTCTCTTTAATCATTTGAAGAAACTAAAGATAATTCAGAAATCACAGAACTCTCAAATTACCAGGAACTGGACATCATAGTTTCAACCAGCGAGCTTTGATGCTGCGTTTTAAACATCTTGTTTTTGAAAACAACAGACTATTTTACCGTGCACGGCCCTTGCAAAGCAGCATTGTATATCATGGACTATAACATACCAGTAAATGAATAACTGAACTGCAGAGAAAAAAGTGCTGTTTCACTTAAAGTATGTGCCGTGTACACGGCCCCTTAAAGTGCTCCCCAGTGTCTGCAGATTGTCTGATCACCTCATTCCTGAAGTAATTCATCGTTTTTGTTCCTGCTCTGTTCCTGACATCTGACTTTATTTAAAGTTTTATCAGGAGGAGAAAGTCAGCTGTCACTCAAAGAGCTCGATCACTGGTGGAGAATCCGAAGTTGCGATGACGTCAGAGGGAACAGAGGATTGGACGGATGGATGGACGTGGGTCATTCACACAGAGGCAGGAAGGCAAAACTTATCAGATGGTTTTAGCAGGATTCCTGGTCACAAGGCAGAGCAGACATGGAGGTCCAGATATCCGATCACGGGCAGAAGGATCCATCTTGGGCGAGGCAAAGGGGAGGAATCCATGTTTGAAATTGGTCAGGAACAGAGCAGGAACAAAAACGATGAGCCCCGCTACGACATCCCATCATGTTAACACTTCAGCCAAACAGTTGTAGCAGCACTTTATGAAAAAGCTAAAACTGATATTGGTGCCCTGGAGCCCAGATTAAAGCCATGCCACATGATGATGACCGAGCGATTCAACCACCTCTTAACTAGGACTGAGTACCGAACGGAGGTTCTTAAATGGCACCGACTGAACTGCACCGGTCGGTGTATGGATTGAAATGTCACTCTTTTTTCTGTGTCAAGTTTCGGTATTGGCTGTAAGGTGTCACGTGGTTTCAGCACGCAGGCAGGTAAAACACCAGACGTATGACGAAACAGACTACGTGTTTACACCCAGAGCTGTATAGAGCTGCCGTACCTAATCTATGCAACATCTCACAACAGATATCTAAAAACTTGTTTTAAGTTTCTCATATTGTCTTGCTCCTTTTTGTTTCTTTTTTTCCATTTATTGTTTTTTATATATGTATTTCTCAATTTTCATCATTTTGTAACACCCCCAGCTTGTAAACTGTAGTTACGACACCCTTCACGAGTGTTTGTATGTCTTTCTATTTTGTAGTGTTCTGTAGTTCTGTGTTCATTAATTTAAGAAAAAAAAAGCTGCTACACCTAATCTATGTATAATGTATGTCTATGGTGCTGGTGACGCCCACAGACGGGGTTCACGTGTGCAGTGCGTGTGTTGTCGAACGGCTCCGACAACACACGAGCAGAAAGTGCTCCATGTTTCTCTGCAAGAAGACAAGAAGCAGCCTTCCCCCTCCTCCTCTCAGTGTGAGTCAGTCTCTGTGTGTGTGTGTGTGAAACGGACTGAATCAACATTCCACAGCCGGACTCGTCTTCATCAAAGAACTCCCGAGGACGGCTCTGTGTCTGTGTTTCAGCTGGTGAGTTTACGTTTGTTAACGTTAATGCAGCTTAACATGTACATCGCGGTGAAATAACGCTAACTTTAAAATATTAGTGTGTAAATTTATTTTATCTACGTAGCTAACTAAAGATTGACAGTAACAGATGAAGCTTAGCTTGTAAAACTGCTCATCCATCCAGTCAGCTGCTTAAACAGTTCACTAATGGTCACCGTTTGTTTATGTTCATGTTCTCCTCACAGGAGGTTCTGACCCAGATGTGAGGACAGACAGAAAAGCGAGGTGGGGGCCACAGGACAATCACAGACTTTGTTGTTAAAAGTTTGCTGTCTTTTCTACAGTGGAGCTGCACGGTGGAGGTACGTTAAGCTGTAAAAGATTTTGTTGACCAGTTAAACTTTTATCTCTCGGCCTATATAATGTTTTTTTGAGCAATAATAACACAACCATGTTATTATTGATGTTTTGTTCTCATGTCAAGTAGGGAGATGATCAGAGCCCTAAACCCCAGAGAACCACAGAGAAGATTCAGGCAGAGACACAGAGGTGCAGATGTCTGCATCAACCCTACCTCATTGAATCCAGTGACCTGCTGGTGGAATGTGAGGGACAAGATGTCAGTGCTGTCAAATGCCCCTTTTCCACTGTCACAGTGCGGATCAGGTCAGTTCGGGTCGGTTCAGATCGGCTCGGGTCTGTTGTGTTTCTATTTACACTTCTGGACCGGCTCTGTAGGCGGGGACTAGAATCCAACTCATCTTACCACCTGGTGGCGGTAGTGCTCCCTTAAACTACTTACTAGCCACCACTAAACGTATTAGAAGAAGAACATCCTGAAGGTTTTGTCTCAAGATGTTGTAGAAGAGATGTCTTGCTCTAATGGAGTACCTCATGAGCTGTAACTTTTAAACCTGATTCATAATCCTACCTTACTGCCTTCCTGCTGCTTTAAACCCATGTGTTTTTCATTTTAGTATAGATTTTTACAATAAAGATGTATTAAAAATATCTTCACTTTTATTATTTACAGATATGCACAAGGTTCATGTTAAAATTGCAAAACATCACACTGTGCTGTAATCTTTGAAACTGCTTTTACAATAAGATACAGACTTGAAAACAATTAGATTAAAATTTGTCCTTGAATTTTAAAGATTTGTCTTTCATTAAATTAAAACATAAATTTATTACTTATTAATCTAAAAAAGTCTGGTCCTCTGGACATTCAAAAAACAAAACTAACAAAAAACATTTTGTTTATTTATTATAAACTGTATTGTTTGTTTTGTGAATGTCCAGAGGACCAGACTTAACTTTTTAGATTTTTCTACCTGAATTATTGAGCAGCATCAGGATATTACTTAATAAATAGTCAGTTGGTCTGTGAACACCATGGGGTCCTAGAAGAGTTGAAGAGGTGGATCTTGATGTCTGTGCCTCCCTGGTGAAGATGCTGCTCCCACAACCCTGAAGCAGAAGATGATGGAAGGATGGATGGATGGATGGATGGTGAGTGAAGGAGGAGACCATCAAACAGCAGGAGTGGTCAGTTCAGGTGAACTCCTGCCTGTTTGCTTCAGATCAGCTGTTCAAATCTCTGCAGGTTCAAATAAAAGGTGCACCAGGACTTTCAGCTGAATCTCTCGGGCCACAGTTGTACGGACGATAAACCATAACTGATAACTGATAAATAACTGATAACTGATAAATGATAACTGATAACCGATAACTGTCCTTTCTGAATTTTTGACTGTTTTTGTGTCACTTCATCCTAGAACCAAAAAATTATAACATAACAGATTCTGGTAATCTTTTCTTAGGATCCATTAAAGATCAAACAAACACTATCTGAACTTAACATTGTAAAATTTGTTTAGGAAATTTAATGTTCAAGGACACCACTTAAGAAAAAAAATGTTTAATAGGAAAAGTAAGAAGTGAAAAATGTAGAAAAATAAAAACTACTGCGTCCAACTAATGACTGTGTATCTGTGTGTCCCTTGTCTCACGGGCTTCATCCAGAAGAAGACACAAGTGTTGTTCCTGCTGTGTCCGCTTCAGTTCTTCATGTTCATTCAGTGATGGAATAAGACTTTTCTTTACTGGACTCTTTTCTCTTTCTCTTCACTAGAAAGAAGAAAAAGGTGGTTAATTCAAGCTACATACTGTTTTTGAATAAATGCATCAAACATAGAAAGGTGCAGCTAACAGCTCTAATAGATATATTTATATTAATAAACTGATCAAATAAGAAAATGAAAAATAAATTGATTTAAAAATAATGAAAATAATATAATGATAACAATGGATATATGAATCAGAAAGTATTATAAAGATACAGATATTCCTTATTGTCATTCGCACCACATGTGGTACATGTGGTGGATCAAAATTATGTACACAGGGTCCCAGTTACATCAACAATAAAATATAAAATAAAAACAGTAATAAGATCTAAGATATGAACTAAGAAAAACATCAACTAAAAATATGATAAGCACTAATAGCATAAAAACAATAAACACAATACGCCGAACAGCAGCACGGACATGAGTCTGTGTGAACAGATGAGCACGAATAAACACAGCAACATGAAACAGATCAGCAGCAACATGAAACTGATCAGCAGCAACATGATTATCCTGGTTAGATATTCATGAGGCTGCACAAACTCAAGTTCATGTTGCTGTTTGACATATTGTTTTGATTGTTTACTGCTATTAGTGCTTACTGTTTTTGTTTTATTAGTAGATGTTTTTTAGTTGATATTTTTCTTAATTCATATCTTAGATCTTATTACTGTTTTTCTTTTACATTATGTTGTCTGTAACTGGGACCCTGTGTACAAAATACATAATTTCATCCCAATTCAGTATTTATTCAACATTTTATTTTTTTACTTTAAAAATAAAATAAGTCAAGTCCTTATCGGCACAAATAAAGTGATGTGGAACATGGTGCATCTGTTCTTACCGAGCACAGAAGCTGCAGCGTTGTGCTGCTCTGTGAGGTGCAGCTGGGCTGTGATGGAGCTCTGTCAGGTGCAGACTCCTCTGATGGAGCTCTTGTCAGGTGCAGACTCCACTGATGGAGCTCTGTCAGGTGCAGACTCCTCTGATGGAGCTCTGTCAGGTGCAGACTCCTCTGATGGAGCTCTGTCA